CATTAAATAGATGATGTTGCAAGATGATAATCTCGTTGATTCTTTTTCACAGAAACGTTTGCGATCGCTGTTATTTCTGTCTCTGGTATCTTCATTAAATTAATGATGTTATAAGATGATAATATGGACGATAAGCCGAACGAGTGCAAATAAATAACAGCGAGAGAGCGGACTCTTTTGTCCCTTGTTTCCCATGTTCTCGAAAACGGAGCGGCAACGGGCAAACTTCCAAAGGACTTCTTTCCCTTTTGCCCCGAACTTTTGACATTTAAATTCGAAACGCTCTGCACCGCGCGTGAACTGCGTAAGTGTTCGATAAATCATTGTAAGAGTGTAACACGCGGGTAACACGCGTGAACAATATATCGAGCAGATGTGCTGCATAAATTCAGGTCATTTATTCTCGACGATAAAGCGTCTTAGAAAGAGTTTCATCCATTCTGGAGGGACACAGCGCTCCCCCGATGGTTGCTCGAGTGGCTACAGAGTCTGAAGAGTTGACTCTCAGGCTGTCTGGCTTCGATCGACCTTTTCGACGGTTCCTCGTGCGGCAGCCCGGGATCAAAAATTCCGTTTCAACTCGAAAAACACCCGCGAGCAAAAATATTCCGCGTACGTACGTACGTACGTATGCGCGCTGCTCCAACCGTGAAATTCTTTTTACCCCCGCTGTGTATTTTTCCGCTCTATTTTCTTTCCCTTTTTTTTTTTTTTTTTTTTTTTTTTTTTTTCCGCCTCTGTATCGAGGCCTCGTATAAATTTCTTGTCGAACAACGCTGGTTATTAATGGGACGGCCGGTACGGCAGGAATTTCAGGGTAAAGAAAGGGTGCGATCTTATCCTTCGGTGCGTAGATCGTTTCCTTTTTTTTTTTTTAGAGGTAGAAAATTTTATATCTCTGTGCAATTTGTGTTCCTCTTGGCTATATCATTTATTTATATTATAATAATTATTTGTATAAGTTTCGTATCATACATTTTCACGTATCATTTGTATTATAAATTTAAATGTAAATTTATATTATAAATCACGTATTTATATTATAATAATTATTTATATAAGTTTCGTATCATACATTTTCATGTATCTATACACTGACTAAACTAACTTTACAAGTCACACAATAACTCGCGAGGTTTAAAATAATTCCGAGTATTTCACGATTTCGAGGATCGAAACTTGATCACTTCTCGGAAGTATAAGTATCTCTTTAAAAAAAATGTACGAAGCCTCAAACTCCTTATCCAGCCGTTGAATTTTCATGGCCGCTGTATTTCTTCTTTGCCCTATCGCGCGGCAGAAACAAAAATGGCACACGCTTCGTTAAATTCAATATCTCACTACTGTTTCGTTTCAAGTCACAGAGCTAACGGGTTCGCGGCTACATAGCCACTCTCCTCTCTCGATTGAAACTGTACCACCGGCTCGTGGCTTTTTGTCATCCAGACGTCCGAGCAAAACGCGCGCCGCGCGTGTATCTCGGCGATTAACTGGCGTACATCTCTCTTTCTCTCTCTGAGTTAAAGATCGCGGCGATGGTTAATAATCGACGGGGCGGCGATCTATCGCCCGGGAATAATGGCCCGTAAACTCGGTGGAAAGAGTGGGAGGGGAAACTCATCCCTCGCCGCTGAATCCTACCTTCCTCCCGTCGATCATTCACTGTGACGACGCGCGTAAAGCCTTGCCCTCCATTTGAGAGTTTCTCGCGAGAGTTGTGTACATTTGAGAGCAGCTTTGAGAATTTTTCATTCTCCGAGAGAGACCGAAATACTCTCCGAGAGCTTACTATCCGATAGAACTCTCAAAACTTGTGTCCATTTGAGAGTTTATTGTCTCTGGCCTTACTCACTGTGGTGGTAGTTTAGTTTTGAAACACGAATGTGAACAGTGACATCATAGAATCATGTGCCCTCATAGGTGCCCATAATATTTTAAGAAAAAGGGAAAAATCAATATAAAAAGAAGAGTTCAATAATTTAAATTATTATATAATATTGTATAATTAAATATTATATATTTATATTTATATTTATATATAATATTTAATTATATAATATTATTATAAATGTTATAAACATTATATAATAATTTAAATTAAAAGAAATTAGTTCAATAATTTTACTTTTTCACCACACTTTTTTGGTATTCAGTAATTTAAATTATTATATAATGTTTAATATAATTAAATATTAATTTAATAATATTATATATTTACATTTTTAATATTTATAATATTATATATTTATATTTATAATATTTATAATATTATATATTTATAATATTTATAATATTTATAATTTTATATATTTATATTTATAATATTTGTAATATTATATATTTATATTTATATAATATTTAAATTATTGTATAATAATTATATAACATTTATATTTATTTTTATATATAATATTTAATTATATAATATTATATAATTATTACAAATATTATACAATAATTTAAATTAATAATTATTTAATTATTATATAATATTTAATTATATAATATTATATAATAACTTAAATTGAAAGAAATTAGTTCGACAATTTCACTTTTTCAGTATTCCTTCTTTTGCTCGCACGAGAGCAGTGTAATGTTGTCTATTTGCGAGCAGGAATTGGTTTTATCTCTCGCCGTTGGTATCTCGCTTACTCTCTCTCCCTCTCTTCTCCCCGCGGAGGACTTAATCGAACGCGAACGCGAACATCAACGTCGATTTAGTTTTGTTTATCGCGAGTCGTTTCTTTGGTAAACGTGTTTCCCGCGATTGTCTCGTCGTTCCTTCGATAGATAAAACGCGTCGCGGCCAGATAGAGAATAACGAGGCTTGGAAATGGTAACGACGAAGTTCACTGTTTAGTCTTGTTGGTAGATAGAGACCCTGTCGTTAATTACGCGGAGAGAATAAATTTAGAAGTCACAGAGGGGACGGTGAATTTCGTTGTTCCCCATTTCGTTGACGGACGAGCCGCGTGTGCTGCGTCGATTGTTCCAAAGAAGAAACGAGGATGTATAAATAACGTTGGACGTGGATATTAATCCAGCTTTCTTCGATGATTTTTGATACTTTATTCGAAAGAGAGTGGCGCGGTTTGGCAGATAAATTGCGTTGTTTCAATTGCTCGAGGCGAGGCTCGTCGTTTCGCCTTGTCGATAGATAAACCGCGGTGTTTTAATTACGATAATAAATAGCGATGTTTAGAAGTGAACGTACCATTTACCGGTGTTACCGCACGATTAATTATGATAATTAACAGGCGTGTAATATTACTCAGAATTCAATTGAAAGGAAAAAAAGAAAAACGAAAGAAGAAAAATGAAGATGTTGACGCTCAGTTTACGCATTATTTACGCACGTGTGCTATAAGATGATGAATTAAATTAATGTTGATGAATTAAATTAAAAAATCCCAAAGTGAAATTATAATTATTTTACTCTAATTGAGAGTGCCGCCAATAGCGGTAGTTTCGTATCAAAGTGTCTTCGCGGGCAAAAATATCGATCTTTAATCTATCGATTAATGAACGTGATGGGAAAATGGCTGCGCGTACGGCGGTAAAAACCGACGGAATCGCGCAGGGTGGCTGATCGATGATGTCAGAGAAGCGAAAAAGAAACGCGTTATCGACGCGTGCACGTGTGCTGGTATTCCGCAATTAAACGGCCCGCCATCGCCTACGTCTTTTTCATACTCTTTGCTAGAGATGGGATCGAGCACCTCGCAATCCTTAATTGATAGATAGATCTGCAAATATTTCGATGATGTTTAACTGTAGTATTCAGAGTACACAGTGAGTACTCCGTTTATTTGAAGAAAATTTTAATCATTGCTCGAGCAAATGAACTCTCGTGAAGAAACTTATGTGTATATTTATATTTACTGTACTATACTGTATTATATTTTCAGTCATATTTATATTTGTTACATTCACTATTAGTTATATTTACTGTATTATATTTACTATTAGCTATATTTATTGTATTATATTTACAGTTATATTTACTGTGTTATATTTACTGTGCTATACTAACTATACTACACTGTGCTTATTATATTATACTAACTATACTAACTACACTATGCTTGTTATATTATATACTAACTATATTACACTATGCTTATTATATTATACTAACTATACTACACTATGCTTGTTATATTATATACGAACTATATTAGACTATGCTTGTTATATTATACTAACTATACTACACTATGCTTATTATATTATACTTTACTACACTATGCTTGTTATATTATATACTAACTATATTACACTATGCTTGTTATATTATATACTAACTACACTACACTATGCTTATTATATTATATACTAATTATGCTTATTATATACTAACTATACTACACTGTGCTTACTATATTATAATTATGATACTATACTTACTGTGCTTACTATATTATAATTATATTACTAAACTAGCTATACTGTGTTTACTATACTATACTAAATATAAACCCACTGTACTATACCACCACAGAAATAATTTTCGTTTCTCAGAAATAATTTTTTTAATAAATTGCCATTTGTGCGAAAGTTCAAACTTTCTTGAATCTTCCAATGGCACTGGTAAGCAAGCATTGTACTTGGTCCTGTTTCTACTCTTCTCTCGATGAAGAAGTTCATTAAAGGATTCACGGTGAGAAACCAAGATTTCATCGGAGAAACGTTTCACCCCTAGAACGTTTCTTCTTCTTCTTTTTTTTTTTTTTTTTTTATATATAAATTACCATTCGTGCGAAAAGTTCGAAATCATTTCTGAACCTTTCAATAGCAAGCGCGTATTATACTTAGTCCCATCCCTACTGTTTGCTCACCGGTCGCGAGAGACTGATCACCCGGTAGCACGTGCATGCGCGCGCCAAGGGTCCAGAGAGTCAGCCGATGCGCGCCGACACGAAAAAGAAAAAGGAAGAAGAGAGAAACGAGAACGAAAACGGATGTGTAGCTGGCTGTCTCGCGAAACGGTTCCGCGATAAATGATAACCAGCTTTAAATACCAGTTTAGCGCGTGTTGCAGCGGAGAGGCGAGCGTGCCCCGAGCCACGGAATCCCCTCGTTTCGGTGTTCCTCCTTTTGGCCGATTTATCACGCGGTCGCGCCCTGGAAAGCGCGGATTCTGCGATCCCGGAGCCGAGCAAGCGCGAAGCGGAACGCACCGACAGGAAGCTGCAACAGAGGATGATGTTGGCAAGGGAGACGCGGTTCCAGTCAGAAGGAAGGTGCGATTGGAAGTTCAATTTTTACAAAAATTGCAACAAAAATTGAAACAAAACTTTCTTTATTCTTATACTGACAAATCTTTGAACAGACACATTTTTGAATCAGGCAAATGAAAAATAAGAATTTCACGCTTGACGTGGAAATAATTAAAAGATTCTTTTCACCAAACAACGATATTCAATCGTCCATCATTTTTACAGACTCCGTGAGCGTAATCAGAGCAATCGAAAGCATGAATAGTAAAACAAAACATGAAACCATTCTAAACATTCAACATATTATTACGTACCTCACCAACAATAACAAAGACATAATCATCGCCTGGGTTTCATCCCACCAGGGAATCAAAGCTGACGAGGAAGCTGACATGGCAGTCAAAGAAGCAACATCGCCCTCGTCGGATGTCATCCGAAGACGAATTAAGACTTATCAAGACCTTGTTGTAACATTACACCACCATGCCGAAAAACAATCATGGAACAAAATATGAAACACCTCCAAAAAAAACAAAAACTCATAATATAACCCAAGATTTCTATCAAACAATGCCTACCAACAACATGAAAAGAAAAGACAGAATAGTCATGACAAGGCTTAGAACAGGACACTGCAAACTCACACATGAGTATCTATTTAAAAAAAAAACAGAACCCCCAATGTGTATCCAATGCAACCGAATTTTATCAACCCATCTTCTATTTGAATGCAGCAAGTACCACGTTCGAAGGCAAAAATACAAAATAACTTTACCGGCAGTCCTGACGTCGCAGAAACACATAGGAAATGTCCTGAATTATCTAAAGGAAACTAACATCTACCATAAGATACAATCGTCTTGAAAAGAAGGAAACCTAGCCGTTGCTAATGACCAGAAGGTAGATGCGACGTTAATCATAAATTAAAAAAAAAAAATTAAAAGATTCTACTTTGTGCGTCAGTTATTTTAATTTTTTACGCTTGTGAATGTGTAGAAAGAAAGAAGCTTTTGATATGTAAGAAATTGGAGCACAGAGAAATAACGAAGTGGAGTGAGATATTATTTTACGATATCTAAAATACTACCACGCGAGTAAGTAATGGCTATTTTATCAGTTACTTCAAAAAAGAAGGTTTACTATCATTTTTGAGATCACTTATTGGCGACGTTGAATGATTAGGTTTCTTTATCCAAACTTGTAAATATGTTTCTGAAGCCAGGTGAGTAACACGCTGTTCGTACAGCAGCATAAACAAAAGAAAGTTGTGAAAATTAATATTCGAGGATTACTAATGTTTATATTAGACTTGTTTTTTCATCAACGTTCCATTTTAATTGAGACGTACATTATATCTATTTATTTCTCTCGTTAAATATAATTTTGTCTTATAAAATCGTGGATATTAACTCGTAATTTGCCTCTTCAACTTTCTTCAATCCGTCATTGTATGATTCAGTGTGTTGTTTGAATTATACGAAAGTTAAATGAAATTTGTTTCAACATATTAACCATTATCCATTGTAATTCACAAATGGTGTATAAAATTCAGACATTTCTCTTTCGTATCTCTACTATATTCAAAGTGAAAGGGACAGAGAGAAATTTAATTAACAATATAATAAACTCTCGTAGATATTCTCTTCTTGTAATTTCAATATTGTTTATATATATATCTTTTAAGACTATTTTGCGGCCTGTCCAATCACAAAAGTCTACGTATAAATTTTAAATTTTAATTTTCAAAGTAGATAAATAATTATTTTCTTAATAATCGTTTCTTAATCAATTTCTATCAATTTGTTAATCAATGTTGAATTAATTCTAACAGACTGATAATGATGTTCTGTACATTTCATTCGAAAGGAAGTACGAAAGAAAAAGTAAAACAAATAAAAATTAGTTACAGTTAAAAACAGTTCTAACAGCTGAACGTATTCATGGTAATTGTATCAATCATGGCGCATTTCATGCTATTGACGCATAGAGCAAGCTATTTGCAGTAAGTTCTATCTAATGTTCTATCTTCTTACATGTCTACTATTTATAAACACATAAGTCTTCGTTGTTAAAACAATTTAGCTGCAGCGTCGAAAAGCTCAGTTGAAGGAAAACAATTTGCAAGCAGGGGTGGAAAAGTTTATTGCCACCCCTGCGCTAAGGTGTCGCATCGTCATCCGTGAAACCGTGCGCTCCGCTCTTTCTCAACAGTCCAACTAACCGACCATTCTCCGTTCAGCCGAGCCGAGGGCAGAGACCCTTCTTACGCGCTCGTTGAAGTCTCCGGCTGGACGGGAGCGCGCTCGCAGTAGGTCGAGCGAGGCCCGAAAAGCTCACGGCCTACGTCCTTGAGAGATCCTGCAGGCCATGCCACGCTGCGTTCAGCAGCGGTAGACCGCAGACCCACCGTGTCTCTACGTGTTATATATACTCTACCACACCGTGTGTGCTTCTCCACGATCTCCGCAAAGACAGATAGAGAGAGAGAGAGAGAGAGAGAGAGAGAGAGAGAGAGAGAGAGAGAGAGAGAGCAAAAATACGATCGTTTTCGAACGCGACACGTGCAACGGCAGCACTGTGAACAGATTACCCACACGTATACACACGTTCACGAAGAAACAACAACACGGGGCCACGTTTGTGGGTATAGAAAACGGGGGGAACGTGGGGTACCAGGACAGCGGCTCCAAAGAGGGAGAAGAAGCAAGAAGTGGAGGAGGATACCGAGAGACTACCACAGGTGGTAGTGGCGACGAGGTGTTCAGGGGGAGGGAGAGAGGTACGAGAGGTGGAAGGTGGACGAAAAGAGGTGGTGGTCGTGGCGAGGGGTAGGGGCCCCGATGGCGAGATCCGCGGGGAAAGAAGGTGGAAGAGTACCGCTATACCTGGAGTCGCCGGAGGCGAAATACATACCTACCTACCTACCTAGTATATATTCTCTCGGCTCGTTGTACTCGGCTTCTCGGATCGGCCTCTCTGTCCTCCGGGGCCCCCGGATTCCCTTTCTCACTCTCTCTCTCTCTCTCTCTCTTTCTCTCTCTATCTTTCTGTACCCCCTTTCGTCGGCGTGCCCGAAGCCCCGGCAAGGTATACCGCTGTTAAGTCCTCCATGATGCACACGCCATAGAGCGCACCGCGGCCACCGTAAGACATTGCGCCAGCCAAGCGGCAGTGCCTTGCCTTGCCTTGCCAACGTCCGTCCGCGGTGCGCCGTCCGTTTTCTTCTCTCTCGGCACTCACGATCGTTCGCTGTACGCCAGCTCGCTTCCATCTGCTCCACCGTCTTTGTCTCTTTCGGCGACTCTCTCTCGCGATTTCCTCTCTGGTCTTCGTCCCTCTCTTCGCTTGTCCCGACGTTGGTTGGCTGGTCGAACCTAACCAAGAGGAGACGAGAGGAACCACCGGTGTCGTGGAGCCGCAGTGAGGTATCCAAGATTCAGGATAGAGAGGTTTTCTCTCTCTGGCGAGAGCCTCTTTACGGCGTTTACGTTGCGCGGCGCGAGAATTGACCTGTTTTTCACGGCAGCGCGGCGCGCAACTTCCAACAGCACGCCAGGAAGCCGTTTTTCACGAGTTTTCCCCTCCACCTGCCGGCATCCGGAAGGGAAGAGAGCAGGACACCCATCTCGCCAGGCTTCTCTTCGCGGAACAAAAAAAAAAAAGAAGAAGAAGAAGAAGAAGAAAAAAAAGAACAGAATTCCCTCGGCTGTGTGTACCGTGTACTGTGACGCACGCACGCACGCACAGACAGACAAACAGACAGACAGACAGACAGACAGAGAGAGAGAGAATTCAGGAGGAGATCAGGAACCGAACGTGCAGCAAGGTAGCCTCTCGAAGAGGAACACGAAGAAGTGTTCTCCTCCTTCCCCACCTCTTTCCTCCGCCACTACCTATCCGCTACCTCCATCTCCTCCTTCCTCCACCTCCACCACGCGTACAGTCGTACGGTCGCCGGCGAGCAATACGGTTTACGGCCGCGTGACACTGTCCCGGACAACATCGGCGTCCACGAACAGCTGGATCCACGTTGCATCGGGTTCGCGTCGCAGTCCAGCCCTCGTTCCTCGCTCACGTTGCTCCAAGGATCGTCGATATCGTTCGTCGTCGTCAATTTCCATCCGCGCCCACCCGTACACCCTTGTTCTCTCTCTTTTACTCTCTCTCTCTCTCTCTCTCTCTCGGTGTCTTTCTCTTTGACGATTCTAACTGTACACTGACGACGCGTAGATGACAGCGCTTGCACACACACAGCTGGCGAGGAGGAAGTCCGGGACAAAGTCGCCATCGAGCCGCGTTAATCCGGCGGGGCATACGTGTCCGTGTTCGGTCGCGAGTGAGAGTGTTAACCGCGTGTAAACGCTAGCGTGGCCGCGTCCGGGCTCCTGGCGAGACGTCAACATCTGGTAGCGCGTATCCGGCCGCGCGGGCGCGCGCACGTCCCGTTCTCCTGGCACACGGTGCGTGTCCGGGTTCCTCTGCCGGCCGAGTTCTTCCGCGTGACCTGCACCGTTCTCTAACCTTTCGATTTCCACGCGAGGCTACCTTGGAGATCCACTGTCCGCTGGCGTCAACCACGCGCACACGCGAACCGAATCGAATCGAACCGACTCGACCGTGGATGAAGAAGCGAGGCTTGCAAGGTTTCCAACCGAGCTACCTGATCGCTGGATTAGCCATTGATTGTTGCTGAAGTTTCGTGAAGTTGCCGATCCCGCTGCCGCGACGTCCAGTGTTCGAGGAACTGCGATTACCAATGCGGTTGCGGTTGATTTTCGTTTGACACGCGGTTGATCTCCCGGTGTGACACGTCAGTGCTCGAGGAACCACCGGTGGACTAATTTGTGATAGTTGTGACCAGTTGGACGAGTCTATTCCGATTTGTCGATCCGTGGTAGTTGTCGTTCCGAGGATATCCAATCTGAGTGTAGTTTCCACGAACTGCGATTATCAATTTCTGACAAGTTAGATCCGTTTCGAACTTCCGTCGTTCGAAGCTTTCGTTTGATTTCACCCAGTGCTCGAACAGCTGCTCGATCATCCAGGACAAACTGAGCGAATTGTCAGACAGAGTTTCGTCGTTGATTTCGCCTCACCAAGTGCTCGCCAATCTTCTGACTTCGATAGATACTCGTCATCCAGACGAAATATCATCCGAATGGCTGTCGCTGAAATTCCAGAGCCGATCAACTTCTAAGACTGGAATCAACTTTTAAATTAAAGCCGAATTGTCGAAAAACGAAAAAAAAACTACGGCTACCAATTCCTCCTAAAGGCAACTATCGTCAAACTTTTTCTGCCATCGAACTTTGAACTCCGACGATCGCCACAGCCGAAATTTCGATCGACAGTCTCGTTCCATCTCTGTCGGCGTGTTGGAAAAGAAAAGGAAAAACTACAACTATCGATTCAACCATCGTCGAACTGTCGCCGAACTTTGCCCGACCAGCATCGCGAATTGAATGGCCATCGTGGTCGTGTCTCGTGAAACGAAAGCTTAGTGGCCGCCGAAAGAGAAAGAAAGAAAAACTCGTCGATCGACGTTGCCGCGATTCATCAACGTTCGACGAAATCGAAGAAGAGGCAGCATGCCGCGGGACAAGGGACACCGCTCGGCCATCGTTTTGTGACCAGCAGTTGTCCAGTCAGCTGTCTCGGCCAGAGGATTATTCCTGCCAAGCAGTCCCCCGTGCGGACGTCCATCTTCTATTCGCAGAGGTTAGTCACTCTCCGCTTCGTTCCGGTATAGTACACACACGTACGCGCGTGTCCCTGATATCTGTGGATCCTACACGCGCGCACGCTGGTGCACGTATGTGTGTGTGTGTGTGTGTGTGTGGGCAGACGTTCCACGAGTCTGGGACCAGGCTGCGTGTGGGTGACACACGCACACACACGTGGACACGGTGCAACGATCTTACGGAGAGTCGCGTTGGGTGGAACGCGCGAGCGCAGCCAGTCGTCCGTGTTGCGAAAGCAGGCAACGCTCGCTCGCGCGCGCGATTTTCACTGCGAGTCTTTCCGAGGACGAGTTCAAGCTTCGTCGTGTTCGAATTTCCTGCCTTCCTGAGGAGATCTTTCTTTTTTTTTTTTTTTTTTTTTTCTTTGAAATGCGATCGATCATCTCGAGGGGAGTCGAGGGATTTTTGAAGTGTGCTGTGAGCTAGAAACGTGCGAATGTTCGAAGTGGAAGTCGCCTTGAGACGTGACTCGTCTTGAGATTACCTTTGTCTCGCGGAATACTGAAAGAAGTTTGATTTAATGAGAGTGTACGTGCGAA